ACCGCTCTTAGACTCCTTTGGGTAGTGAAGGGCAGGGTATAAATCCAATCTCTTCTCTTCTTCTTCAATTGATGTTCTGGATTCAGGTGACACATTTCTTCTTGGGGATTTTTATACCGTCTTTTTGAAAATTGGAGAAGTTTGCATGCATTAGGACAGTTCAGTATACATTGACATCTAAATGCGAAAATCACTTTAAACAGTAGTGGATAATGTAAACCATTTCGAGGAGTGTAATAAGCTTTGCTGTGTGATTGATCTGAGGGCCTTGTGAATGGTGTCTCCACCTTTTGAATATTGCTCCCATTAAAATGTACTTGTATTGACTTGTGCTCATTTTGTTCTAATACTGCATGGCCACAAGAGAAGTTTCCACTGTAGGATGTAATTTTACACGGGACAAACCCTTGCACAGCTAATATAAACTTTGCAGCATAGTTTCAAAGACTCGAACAGGAATTTAACATTTATCTCCGGAAGCAGCAGATGCCAGGGCCAACGTGGAAAAAATGTGAACGGGACAGAATAAGAGAACAGCTACAGCACTACCTTGCACACTCTGTGAAAACAGCAACCTTCTCTCACAAAGAGAGTATTCATTGTTGCTAACATGAACCCAGGTGCAGACCTCAGAAAGAGGCCCTTTCCCTCATCTGCAAACCATTGTGTTTGTTTTGCACAAAGGACAGTATGTTGATCTGCTGCTCCTGTTCCACTTTCCTTTCCCCGCAATTACTTATGTGTCTTTCTGGCCAATAGTATTAGGGTGGGGTTTAGTCTGAACTCATTTTCCAGCCACATCACAGATCTTGATAATGGGAATGGTTTGCGGCAGCTCTTGAATTTACTTTCACTGCAGTAGTAATCTGTCGGTGACCCCATATAGTGCTTCCCACTTGTAGTTTCTTGGTTAGTTATGGGAGATCCCCACCCCACCCCGCACTCCATGGGCTGACTTCACAAGAGACCAAGCTATTTGTAAATAAAGCCATAAAATAGCACCTTCTCCCCACCCAAGCCCTGTTCCAAGTTTAGAAATGAGACGAGATGGTCTTCCTTGGTGAGCCACCAGTCTTCACCCTCATGGCATGGAAACAGCAGTCGTGGCAGAGTACCACTAGGGAACAGAAAGAGAGAGAGCACCTCTCTACATCTCCTGACCCCTCTCTCTTTCCTCAGTGCCTTAGATGTTGTTTTGGCAGCATCTGATGGCACTCTGGGAAATGTAGGCCCCGGTCACACTGGGGGAAAAGGTGCGGCTGAAGTGTGGCTTTTTTGAGTCGCATCAAAAGAGACGCGCAGCAGCGGGATCAGAGAGATCCCCCAAGCCGCCACGCAGTTGTTCCCCCGATCTGGGGGGGGGGGAAGCCACAGATTGGTGAGCGAGGCAGCCCGCTGCGCATGTGCATGCCTGCGCAGTTTGGCTGGGGGCCTCGCATGCTGCCAGAGATGGGCGCGCCGGCAGTCCCACGGCCGCCCCTGCTGCAGATTTTCAGGTAAGTAGTAAAGTTTTGTAGGGGGTTTTTTTATCTGCATCTTCGGCCGGAAGACACGTATTGGGGACGGGTGTGCGCCGCTTCCCAGATGCTACAGTGGGATCGAGCCTGCTTGCTGCGCCCCCAATCCGTCCCTCTCGCGGATCAAAGCCTCCCGTGTGACCGGGGCCGTAGTCAGGCATTATGATTCAGGTAACCTATGGGCAGCATTCTAAAGGATGCCCTGCTAGAGAAGCATGGGGGGGGGGGGAGCAGGGGGGCTGAGGGAGAAAGAGAGCCTTTCCCTATTCCCTACCTCTGATTAGCCACTAGAGTGAAGAAGGGGGTCTGAACCAGAGAAGGATCTGAGGTTGTACTGCATACGTACGTATCAGAAGCAAACACTGTGAGTTGCTGATGTTCATGTTTCATTATCTCGATTCATAATGCTTAAAAGCATTAAATGTTGGCAGACTGTGGCCATCTTCTTAACTCAGGGTTTGTAGTTTTGTTATGTGGCCTGATCATACCTTATGCACGTTACATTACCTACCAGTTCTGTAAAATATAAATATTTTACATAAATATACTGAATGGCTGCTTGAAGCATAAATCTGGTGTTTGGTGCAGTATGACCTAGAAGGCAGTGTTGTGTAAACCCTCTGGGCTGTCTAACTAATGGACACGGTAGTATTTCTGAATAAACATGTTTCCATCCACAATGTAAATACAAAGACCTGTGAAATGGTTGCAGGACTATGTGAGTTCTGTAGCTGAATGGCAGAGCAGGGGACAGCTCATAAGTACAAACAGGTTACAGACCTCATGAGGATGCAATATGGTTTCATTTCTTTCTAGTTAGACATGATCCCTGATGCAAGAACACCACTAATTATGCACGTGCCACATTATCTTGCATATGACTGATGCATTAGTTAAAAAGCAAGAAAACACATTTTTTCCCCAACAATAAAATATTTCCTTTGAGTGCTGGGAAAATTCAGACATCTTATAATGCCAGCACCAGGGCCTTCTCACTCACTAGGCAAACTAGGCGATCGCCTAGAGTGGGCCGGCCCTTAGGGGCGTCAAACTGCACCTGGCCCCGTACTCTGGGAGTTTCTTGAATATTTGTGTTTTTCATTCTTCCTAAAATGCATTTATTTTTGAAAATTGGTGGGCGCACGGGTGGGGTGGGCAGAAGGGATCCTCGCCTAGGGTGCAAAATAAGCTAGGGCTAGCCCTGGCCAGCACTAATGTAATGGAAGACATCTCCTTAAGGCTGGCCATTTTGATCAGTCAAAAGATTTGTCAGTTGAATGATCCAATGTTGTGAAATGTTATTCGAGTGTTTTAAATCATAATCTTAATTCACTAGAAATCCACTTTACTGTCCGCTGGTCTCTTAATTATGTTAATTAAGAAATTGACAATTATTGTAGAACAGTGAAGTTAACTTTTTAAAAGTGATGAATTATCATCATTGTTAACAATTTTAAGAGGGTAGATCCAAATGGTCAGCCGTGTTGGTCTGAAGCAGTAGAAGTTCGGGCTCTTTTTGGGGAGGAACGCACAGGAACGGAGTTCTGGCTGGCTCCTGAGTTGGCCACATCCAGCAGGAACTCATTAGCATAATAGGCCACACCCAACAGCAGAAACTCATTAGGATTGGCTACATTAGGGGTGTGTGGCCTAACATGCAAAGGAGTTCCTGCTCCAAAAAAAGCCCTGGGTTTTGACAACAAACAAGGTAAACAGAATAAGAAGCAAAAGGTGGGTGTGGCTGGATGACCACACTTCTGGTAACACAGGGGTGAGGCCTCATATGCTAATGACCTGTGTTGTCATGGGTGTGGCCTAATATGCTAATATGTTTCTGCTGTTGGGTGTGGCCAATTATGCTAATGAGTTCCTGCTGGGCTTTTTCTTAAGGTGGTAGATCCAAATGGTCAGTCGTGTTGCTCTGAAGCAGTAGAACAAATTTAGAGTCCAGTGGCACCTTTAAGACCAACAAAGGTTTATTCAAGGTATGAGCTTTAGTGTGTGAAAGCTCATACGTTGCATAAAACTTTGTTGGTCTTAAAGGTGCCCCTGGACTCTAAATTTGTTCTCGTGTTAAGAGGTGTTTTCTGTAAATGTGATGGTTCACTGAACAGTTTGTCTCACAGGTTTTTCTAGATTGAAACAGTCCACCTAAATAGTCAGTTAATTGTTTCTTAGCTGGGCTTCTAAAGAGAAATGTTGTTCCTCTGATGAAACAAATAATATCCAAAGCTGCAATCCATTGTTTTTACTTTTTAAGGAGCAGGTTTTAAAAATATTCCACATACATTTTTTGTT